ATATATATATTTCAGATTTTGATACTGCAGTGTGGAAGTTAACTGTTAACAGCCTGAGCAACAGATCTTTTTGTACACCACTAGAGGTCGCCATTGTTCCACTATATCAAAGATTGCCATCCTTTTACAAAAGAGTTGTTAGATGTGAAATTTTGTGGAAATTCAAACGATAACGTAAGATCAAAACACACTTTTTTAAACAAATGGACATATTTGTGTGTGAGTGTGTTTGTGTGTGTGCAATCTTTGTGTATCATATTCAGAAATATCCAAATGTACACAAACGGAATATAATTACTGTATAATCATTACTTGACAGAAAATTGCAAGTACATAAAATACAACCATTGTACTTATTATCTCCACCATACAAACCACAACAATCACATTGAACACAACAGCAGTTCACTGACTGTGGTGCCACACAAAATATTCACAACTCAGTTCGTCAAAAGGATCATTTTCAGACTGGCTCAAAATCTCTAGAAAACCAAAAACCAAAATCACAAAAATAACAGTTTTCTGTCGACTGTATGGACAAAATTTAAGAACTTTTTATATTTCATTAAAGACACTGACAAAGGAGCACATGTAGAAACGCAATGTGCCGAACCTTTAATAAAACTGCATACCAGTCAAAAAGATGGCTGGGCAAATTAATAAAATGTAGAAGCCTGTGAACATTTTTTTTAATATATATATATAGTTTTATTTAAAATGCAAAACCACTCTGAATGTTACAGAGCAAACTACCCACAGAGAGAAATGATCAGAAAAGTGTAATCCCCAACTCTGTGACAACATCCTCTCTATTTGCATCAATTGCACTTCAGTATCTCTCCTGCAATTTGTTTTTTAAGCCCTTTTCGAGTATTGTCCACTCACTTCACTTTCTTGCTGCTGTACTTGCATGAAATGATAAAAAGTTCTTCAAGGACAGTCACAACCTTCATGTCTGAACCTCACCTTACGCAAACCTTCACACACATATACGGCTTTGCTTAATGGATGCACCAACACAAGCACATACTGCAAAACCACCACATCGGGTTGCTGTGTTTGACATAGCAGAATAAAACATTAAAGATCTCTAGATAAAGAAACTCCACAGAAACAATTAAATGTATGTTTCTTTCTTTTCTTTCTGTGTTACATTTTTGATTTCTGTTACAAGCAATCTTAACTTTCCGTCCTTTACGTAGACTCCCTGGGAATTCTCCTGTGAAAGACCACTGAAGAATGCCTTTGCTGAAACTGCTGCTTCCTCCTTTTTTTCTGGTCCCAGCGGCACAACAGTATCATCTTAAATGTTGTACGAAAAGTCTTGTTGCACAGGGCGTAACACATGGGGTTGACTGTGCTGTTGACGTAGCATAGCCAGTAACCTACTGCCCACAGAGTTTCTGGGATGCAAGTTTTACAGAAAGCATTGATGAGCACCATGATGTTGTAAGGTGTCCATGTGATGATGAATGCAAAGAGGATGGCACTGAGAGTTTGAGCTGCCTTCTTCTCTTTTACCAAGGACATCCGCTTCCTTTTGGTGATCTGAGTCCGGGCTCGGGCAGCGAAACGCTTTGCCAGAGCTGCCTCCTTGAAGGACATTGGACCTGAGGGGGACTTGGTGGTTGTGCTGGTAGTAGTACTGTCAGAGGCAGTGGTAGTGGTTACTGGGGTACCATCCAGAGACCTATGGTTAGAAGTAGCCTGGATGGAAGACAATGATTGAATTTTGCGTGAGCAGAAGCGTTGGTGGTAGCTATTTTCTGAACTGTTTTGCCCTTCCGGAGTAACAGTGGCTATTGTGTTTGGAGCTACTGATGAAAGACTGTCTCGATTATACTCTGCTGCTCTAAGGGG